GAACCTGGTGGTAAGTTAGCGATGAATGCTGTCCAGCACGACAATTAATTATTTATAAATTAATGAGCGAATTAATGATACGCCACTGTTTCATGACAAAATTGAATAAATTAAACTAAAACTAGTTTTAGTGAACCCTAATCGACATTTGATTTCGGAAAATCGACTATACATAATATATCATATTTTACGCAAATTGTAAAATTTCAAAAAATTCAAAAAACTTTTTTTTCATAAATTTTTTTTTTAAATTTTCATAAAACTTTTTTTATAGGAAATTTTTTTCTCTTTAAATTTGCTCTCCACAAATGTTCGCGAAAAACGCACAGTTTTCGAGATATTCACAAAACACCGATTTTGGGCGCTATCTTGGCAAGATGGCGGCGCCGGCGGCAAGTCTGGAAATGTGCATTTTATGGATTTTAGTTAGAAACCCCAAAACCTATAAACCTGCAAAGTTTCAAAACTTCCGGACTTTTTTCCAAGCAGGCCTCTTTTTTGATCCCCAATGACTGAACTATATAGCCGGCGCAGTTCAAAGCCTACTTATTCAAAGTGGGTGAATTTTTAAAAACTCTATATCTCGAAGAGGAATCGAACAAAATATCAAGTATGCTATATTTTTGGAAAGGTAATGTTAAATTATTTTCAATGAATTAAAAATATACAGGGTGTCCCATATAAAAAATCAAATTTTCTGTTGATAATTCCTAAATTATTAATTTTACAAAAATTATACTTAAACTATTAAATTCTACGTAAAAAGGTGCTTTGGAAATGTTTTCTTATAAATTCAAAATTTTTCATGGCAAAAAAAGTTACGGCGAAATGTTAAAAATGCACATTTTTGAAAAACACCCCGTAACTTCCAAACGGCAACAGATTTGATGTGCGGTTTTCACCATCATATTTTTGATAAAAATTAAGCTCCAGACACCGATATTAGTTTTCGTCTATATCCTATAGAAAAGGGTGTTTCCCTTTAAAAGCGTCCAATTTGACCCACTCTGTACAGGGTGGGTCAAATTTATCCTATAGAAAAGGGTGTTTCCCTTTAAAACCGTCCAATTTGACCCACTCTGTACAGGGTGGGTCAAATTCGACGCTTTTAAATGGAAACACCCTTTTCTATAGGAGATAGACAAAAACTAATATCCGTGTCTGGAGCTCAATTTTTGTCAAAAACATGATGGTGAAAACCACATATCGATATTTGTTACCGTTTCGGAGTTACGGGGTGTTTTTCAAAAATATGCATGTTTAATAAATCGCTGTAACTTTTTTGCTATGGAATATTTTGTATTTTTATGAAAACATTTCCAGAGCACCTTTTTACGTAGAATTTAATGGTTTAAGTAATTTTTTTTTAAATTAATAATTTAAGAATTATCAACAGAAAATTTGATTTTTTATATGGGACACCCTGTATATTTGTAATTTATTGAAAAGAATTTAAAATTACATTTCCAAAAATATAACATACTTGATATTTTGCTCGATTCCTCTTCGAGATATAGAGTATATAAAAATTCGCCGGCTTTAAATAAGTAGGCTTTGAACGGCACCGGCTGTAATGCAAAAAATTCTAGCTGTGAGCGTCAATTAAAACGAAAATAATATTTGCTATGAGAGATGCAAAATTTTATAACAATTTAAAATATATGTAACCAACATCAACACATTTAAACTATATCTAATAACAATAATAATAAATAGCAAACCAAGGCACGAGATTTTGCTACAGGTGTTCGACATATCGACCGTCTTCTGTTATGGACAGACGGGGTAGATTTTGAACATTTCTCGCGAAATTCATTAACTCAGTGGGGTGAAAGATACCCTCTCATAACTGCTAAGTATTTTTAATTCTTGTCTAGATTATACGGAAGAATAAGGAACCTTTATTCTTCCGTAAATATATCCATAGGATTAGATCCACGCGCACTAAGTGAGGCGGCCTCGGCGGCCAACGGCTGGGATCTTGGTTAGCTATCCAATTATTCTTGAAATTGGCTGCAAAAATTTGCTGATAACTTCAGCGTTCAGAGGCGGTGCGTTGTCTTGCTGGAAAAATATGTTTTCGAGTTCCATTAAGGGCTTATTATCAATAAGGGGTCCAAAGCCTACTAGTTAAAAGTGGCGAACTTTTAAAAATTCTGTATTTCGAAGGGGATTATGACAAAATATCAAGTGTGCTATATTTTTGGAAAGGTAATTTTAAATTCTTTTCAGTTAGTTAAAAATATAGAGGGTGTCCCAAATAAAAAATCAATTTTTCTGTTGATAACTCTTAAATTATTAATTTAAAAAAAATTATACTTAAACCATTAAATTCTACATAAAAAGGTGCTTTGGAAATGTTTTCATAGAAATACACAATTTTCCATAGCAAAAAAGTTACAGCGATTTGATAAAAATGCACATTTTTGAAAAACACCCCGTAACTCCGAAACGGTAATAGATATTGATGCGCGGTTTTCACCATCATGTTTTTGATGAAAATTGAGCACCAGACACCGATATTAGTTTTCGTCTATCTCCTATAGAAAAGGGTGTTTCCATTTAAAAGCGTCGAATTTGACCCACGCTGTACAGTAAATATGTAAGTGAGGCTACACCATAATTGGAAATAGTTGAGTAAGCTGAGAATGATGATGATGATTGCTTAGGGAAGCGTAGTCTTCGTTAGAAGCGTAGAACCGTTGACGTTCTCTTAAAATGTTTTTATAGACGTATCTGTTTGAAAAAACTAAAGTGTTCTTGAATAGCTATATTTAGATATTTTAAATAGTTTTTTTGTTTGTTCTTTGTGTTTTTTTTGCTTCTGACGACGGGAAGATTTATACTTCTCGAAACGTTAAGCATTTTTTTGTCCGTTAGGCAAATTTGTTTGTTAGTAAATCACTACGGACAAGTTGATCTCCGTGAGGTTTACGCAGCAGTGTTTATAAAAAATAACTATTTTATTTTGTTTGGTTTTCCCATTTTAGGGCGTCCCATTTTAGTTGAAATTATACGGTATCTCCGTTATTCGTGAAGATAGAAGGGTGCGGTTTGCACAAACCTGTGCCACTTTTTTTGTCAAACGGAAGATGCTGTCAACAAAATTTTCATAGCCTTCTTCGTTTCTGAACTACAGGGTCTTTTCGAAACTTTTGCAATTTGGGACAGCCCCCGTATGTTCGTTATTATAGATGATATCGAGAAGGTGAAAACTGGTTCTTGGTAGAACTTTTTACGTAGAATACAGTGGCGTAGTCTGTTTTTCTACGAATAAAATATTTTTGAAAATATGAACTAAAGTTATGTTTTTTCAAATGGAACACTCTGTATATTTATAAATCATATGATACGCCTTGCTATGAGCTTCTCAAATGTATATCACTCTATATTTATTTTCACTATTTACTGCAATATTTAAAATATATCATTTTCTTATTAGTAGGCCGTGATAAATAACAAAATCAAAATGGTATTTACTAAAATAGACATACACATATTAAAATTTTATTTGGAATTGATATATTTTACTTTTGAACTGTTACCCTGAACATCTGAATATATTTTTCTCTTCTTTATAACGGAATTTATTATAATGGGATGGGTTTGCAAATATCTAAAAGCTTGCATTATTAAAGCATTTTTCAGGCGTTTGATTATCAGTTGCCACGATATATCTCATATTTCAAAAATCCCCAAAATCAGAAATCAAGAACGGACAAATCCTGGAATCTGGGAGGCCATCATATGGGTACATTGGTTCAAATTCATTGATTTGAGAAATAATAATTTAACAAAATTCTAATATTTTCGTTGTAAGTTAATTTGTGAGAGGGAGCCCCATCTTGCTGAAAGTATATTTCACGTAAATTAGCTAAAGGAATATTTAAAAGTTCCCATACGATAGCTTCCAATATTTACAAATAGCGGTAGAGGTTTTCCTAATATACAAAGAATTAATTAGTGGCCCTCAAAATAAAACAAGAGACAGATAGCAGTATTACTTTTAATAATTCTTTAGTTTCTTTTATTATCAATCATGGCCTACTAATAAATGTGATATTTTAATATATTTTTTTAAATATTGCATTAAATAATGAAAATAAATATAAAGTGTTTTATATTTTTGAAAACCTTATGGCAAGCCAGATCATATACTTTATAAATACACAGGGTATTCTATTTAAGAAAACATAGCTTTAGTTCATATCTTTAAAAATATTCTTTCTGTTGAATAACAGACTACGCCACTGTATTGTACGTAAGTTCTACAATAAACAGTTTTCACCGTCTCAATACCTTTAACAATACCAGAGATACACAGGGTGCCCGAAATTGCAAAATTTTCAAAAAGACCCTGTAGCTCAGAAACGAAGAGGGCTATGAAAATTTTGTTTACGGCATCTTCCGTTTGACAAAAAAGTGCCACAGGTTTGTGCAAACCACACCCTTCTATCTTTACGAATAACGGAGATCCGCATGATTTCATCCAAAATGGGACACTCTGTACAAGTGGCGAAATACTCATAGAACTTTTTTTTAAAGAGATGAATCCACCACAGAGGTATACACTTTTTTATACATATGCCGTCACATTAAGCCGGCATGGCAAGCCATGGCCAGCATTTCAGCAAACATTTGTAGAAGCGTTGATCTTTGCTTAATATTCGCGCACCGACGACCGTACACACTACATGTTTTATCTTCGCCAGTTTTTTCGAAGCAAGTGAAGGCGAACGTTGTACAAGGGTTAAAGTTGAGGGTTGGAACCTTTGGTATTACACAGCAAAATAAAAACACTAAATCACCACAATACACCAAAACACTTTTACTTTTACACTGGACCCGCGTTTCGCTAACCATGTTAGCATCATGAGCAGATGATTATAAACTAAAGTACAATCTACAAGTTGAGCGTTTATATACTCGCTCAGTGGGCACCGAGTGGGCGTGGCAAAATCTAGCCAACCGAGTCAGAACCAAAGACATCTAAATATAGGTAGACAGAACACTCCATTCATAAAACTCAATTTTTTAGAATCATACATGGTTTGGCACTTTTATGAGAGTTAAAAAGAGATGGGTACATAAATATGACAACACGGTTGAGTTTCGTCTGTCTTTCTGTCATTTCACTCCATCAGTGGCGTGACGGTGGTGTGGTGTTTTTTATCAAAAATTTTAAAATAGTTATTTTGTGTATTTTAATTTAAATTTTAATTTGTAATATACGTAGTAATATCGATAATATACAATGTAGGGGCGTTTGCACCAAGTTTTTTAAGCAAAACTTAACATTATGTTTAGCTTATTTTCTTGCACTATGCTTTAATCTAACTTGAATTTATATTTAAATTAAGCGGTCAAATTTCCAGGCTAGTGGCCACTTAACCTATCTGAGACACAAAAAATTGTTTTACGAGGAAGAATTATTGTTATTCCTTTGAGAAAGCTAAAAAGTGTATTATGATACCTCTACGTAAGTTCGATGATTACTTTTGATATCCTAGACGTCGATCAGTAGGTATATTCATTGAAAATGGATTTCCTCAAGAGTGGATGTAAGGAAAAATCATATTGCCAAGAAATGAACCTCCTTAAGACCTCTTTTAAACGACACTGTAATATATATCCTCGGTTTAATCCTTGTTTAATTGAACAAAATCTAGAATATCAAAATGAGAGGTAAGTTGGAATGCTAGTAAATCTAATGTAAGATAAATTAATTATATTTATACTTTGAACCATTGTTCTTTACTATTTCCAGAAACAACAGCATAACTGCCTTAAATCAACAACAATTTTATAGTATATTTAGTTTTCCTGGGATTATAGGGATAGTTGATGGAACACAATGTAAGAAAACATTCACCTGGTAAGTACCTATATATTTTCTTCAATATTTATCAGCACAAGGTTTCTTATACTTTACAGGGGGTATTGATGGAGAGGTATTTAGAAATAGAAAAGCATTATTTTCCCCAACATTTAAATTACTGGAAATGCTAGTCTTAAAACTATAGACTTGATTGCTTGTTGGCATGGTCTGTGCATAAAGCCACCATTTTTGGACATTAAGGACCTGCATGGAGACTGGTGACTTTTCAAATTAAATCCTGCTTGGTTAGTGGTCCGTATATTTACTTACTGTTAGATCATTTATATAAAATATATTCCTTAAATATTTGAGTAGGTATTCAATTTAGAAATATATTACGAATAAGATGAATTGAAAGAAATTTTTAAAAATTAAATGTGATAATATTCAAAGTGTTCATATACTCTATTAAATTATTTTATTATCTGTTATAAGGTGAGATTGCATATGCATTGAGGGGATATATGCAGAAATAGAGCTGAAGAAATGTTTCAGAATTATCGTTATATGGAAACGCCACTTTCCAATATGTGTTTTATGGTATAAGACCAAAATTACAAAACACAATGTCAGTTCTTGTTGCACAACAGTGAGTTAAGAAAAATATTATCTGTTTAATTATAGAACAAAATTTAAAAAATTTAATGTATGTACTTAAATTTTTAGATTTTGTTGTTTTAATGTGCTACACAATACAGCCAGAATGATGCCTGAACAAGAGCTGCCGCCGTTAGATGAAATAAATATGGACCAAATTAATAAGAAGAGAAATAATAAATTATTTTGAAAGATTAGGGCAATATTTTTTTTAACTTATTCTAAACATGTTTTTATGTTGTTATTAAATCTCTTGAGTATTAATTTCTATAAAATATCATTATTAAATGTCTTTTATTCAGAAATAACATACATTACATTTTTTACATTACAATATAAACACTAATTAAAATTATTAAGTAAGTTCTCTTTGAGAACTTTACTGTTCTTTTTTTATTTCAATGTCTAACAACCCTTTTTTTCTTTAGCTTATGTTCTTCTCTGTTTTGAATACTACTACTTTGAATTTTGCCCATCTCCATATTACAAAAGAACAGCCTTTTGTCTAGTAAATTAATATCTTCCCTTTTCTTCTGTTTCTTTGTAACTATCAGTTTTGTTTTGAGACTGAAAAATATCTAAAAATATTTGAATTCTCTTAAAAGTAATAAAAAATTCAAAAACACAATGAAAGGTTAGTACTTACAATACCAGTACTCCTATTAGTTTTAGACAATCTATCACCATCATGTTTTTTAATCCCACAATGCTCTTCTCATTTTTACATTGATTGAATATATTATTATCTTCCGTTTTTGCTTTTTGTATACGTGGACCTCCACCAGTTAGTCAAAATATATTTTAATAAATGATTTTCTTTTACATAGTATTTATACATACAAGTTGTAAGCTTTCCATACAAATTAGAAAGCCAAAAATCCCGTTTTTCTTTGTGACTATGGTTGACCTTTCTTTTAAAGTAAGTCCAATAATATACAATTTAATTATTTCAAAATTATTAAAAAGTATGTTGTTCTTATATTTTTGATAATTTTTTTATATGAATATTTTGTAAATCCATTTTGAGAGTTAAAAATATCAAAAATATTGTTGAAAACTAAATGGAATTTAGAGGCCTCCTAAAGAAAACTCTGGGCCAGTTTATGTATCCCTTATAAATTCTATGTTTTCGGCGAATAAAATGACAATGTTAAAGCAAAGGATAGTAGCAGAAGATTGGATTTTTGTGTGGCAGGCCCTTTTAACATTCTTTCAAAAATACTTTGTACTGGTTCAGCTAAGGAAGCCTAAAAAAACATATATTATCTCTATTAATGTTATATCTCTATAATATTATTATTAGTCTTTTAGACACATCAAATTCACTAAAGGGTTTTTAAAATTTAGACCTGGCCTTGTCATGGAAATTAGAACCTTCCATTAATCGTATTTATGCCACTGTCATATGGATTAGTGTATCATTCACAAAATTAGACCAGAACTAAATTTAAAACTTGTTAATGAATCTTGGGGACAGATTTTGACATAATGGCTGTAGGACTAAGTTATTAAATGGCTGATAACTTTACATTATTATAGTTCCCCTCCGCCCGCCACTCAAATATATACATAAAATAGTGTGTCCAAGATAATAATTACAAGCACTGGGATCTCAGAAACAGTAAGAGGTACAGCTTCATTATTATTCATTATTATTAGAAATTGCTTTTAGCGATTTTTACTTGATTTTTATATTTTTTTGGATCCTCACATATAACCGTTGACTTATAACCATTATGTTTTTAAAATGTCACCCTGCATACCTATATTCATACCTGAATTCAGTTGATACACTTATCAAAGATTTTTCTTTTAAGTAATCAATTAACTGATGCATTGATATTATTTTATTTTTCAATCTTCTAAGACCTATTTGTAAAGTATGTATTTTTCATTTTCTTTGTTTCCAAACTTTTACAAGACTTAAATTTCTACATAATATCATTATAATGCCTCATTAACATACTTCTTTCTGAAATTAAAATAACTTATGCACAATTTTACTTAAGATACAGGGTGGCGCCTCTTAAATGCTACCAAGGAGAAAGAGTTTGTATTGAAATTAAATTTTGGGAGTATATGTAGGTTAATTTAGAGCATTTAAACATATAAATGTGATAAAATATGTGTTTTTTTAAAATATGGAGTTCTACAGGGTGTCGCCAAAAAAGTTACACAACAAAGTTTTGTTTTTTGGAATGGGACACCTTATATATTATTTGATTTTCGGATTCTATGAGAAAAATAAAGGTGAATTTCATTATTGGACTAAAATGTAATTTTATTCCCTTTTATTTGAAATGAACACAGCAAGTTCCCTTTTATTTGAACACCCAGAATACTATTCCGATCTTTTAATTGCAGTGTGCATTCATCAATTAATAGAATGCTTAAGGTCAAATTTTAATTTGGTTAAATATACAATGAGTAAATTTCCATCTAGGTAGCTGTTATTGAAATTTAAAGTTTATTCATTATTTTCACCAAATGTGAAATATGACAAGCCTTACATTTTAGACATATGCTTCTTTAACGAAACTCACTTTTATTTCTTTCCTAGAATCCGAAAATCAATTAATATATAGGTGTTCCATTACAAAAAAAAAACTTTGATGCATAACTTTGGGGACACCGCGCAGAACTCTTGATATTTCTATAAAATGCTTTCCATTATCCTACATATGCTCCCAAAATTACATTAACGATAAAAACCACCGTTCTCTTTGGAGCCTCCGCGTCGTAGGAGAGGCACCACCTTGTATATAATGTAGAGGTAATTTTTACCTTTTTCTGATACTTTGACGACTTTCTTGAGATAATAAATATCCAACTATTGAGAGATCAGAAGATGAGGATTGTCTTACTATGCTGTAAACAAACAAAAAAACATTAATAATTAATTTTTCAATAAAACCTATTTTCGTTTTTAATTTTTTCCTAAATACTAATAATTTCCTTCTATAGTATTAAATTTATCATTAAGCGAGAATGTTTTCTAGTGCAAAATAAAAGCTCACTCATAGAAAATATATGTAAACAAAAACCAACACTATGGCAAAAATTATGTAGTTTATGATCTTATAATGTGGAAGATAATTCCAAATAACATATCCTTGAGAAAACATATAAAATAAAAGATAGCTATGTTAATTATACAGGGTTTCTGGATATTCGACCGATAAAGCTTGACAATGAGAAGCAACAAGTCTCGTATTTTTATAAAAAGTAAGATAGGGAAGTAAACCCATAAAGTGCTTAATTAATAAGATACAAAGTGATATTAGTAATGTTATATTACGTTATATTGTTCTATTAGATATTATAACAGCTTCCTTGAAATCTATTACTGCTAATGACATAAACAAAGTGTCCCCTTTTCTGCAAGAAAGAGAGATGTCAATTTTTTAAATAATTAAGACGGCAAACAGAAGCAGAAGAAATGTTATTTTGAAAAAGCTTAATGTGTCAAAGTATCCTGTCTACTATAGTTACGTCAAAAGTATGATTAAGAATGTATTTAGATTTTTTACCGCAAAAATTGTGTCTACGAAATTTCGCGTCTCTATTTTTTTAAAGAAATACCTGGATATGTCAAAATTAAACTTACTATTGTGACACCCTGTATGTTAAAAAGTAAATACTTCGCAAGAGGGTGTACACCTGTATAAATGTAAATGTAAATAAGGCACAGTACACTACTTGACAATAATAGTTATAATGAGAGTATTTCATTTAAAATATATTACATACTAGTTGAAGCCTGGCGCATCCGCCACGACATCAGGAAAAAAAAATACTTTTTATTTTTTTTTAATTAAATGAAAAACAAAAAATCCGGCGATGACAGTTTGTAGAAGAGCCAATTAGCTATCTTTTAGTAAAAAAAGCAACTTTCTAGAGCAAGTCGTTATTTCAGTATTAGCATTTTATATTATTATTATATTATTATATATATTACTTTGTTATGCATACAGCTATATTCCCATTCTGTTAAAAATACAAGAGCTTTTAAGCCTTGTCAGACAAACATCCAGAATACACTTACAAAGAGCACATACTGGTTAATTCCAACTCCTTTTTCCAATGCCGTTTCTGTTGTTTTGAGGGAAGGGCTTCTTGAGAAGGGCTAGTTTATCTTGTATGATTTAGGCAAAATCCTGTAAATTTTAATTAATTATCAATATTAAAATACATGTATAAAATGTATCAATGTTCTTACAAATTTGAGGGGCCAGCCAAACTGCCAATCGCGGGACTAGGTAGGGACCTTCTCTAGTCCCTCAGCCGGTCTGGAGGTTCATTTACCTAAAACATTTTTTGGGTGGCGGTACAAACTAGAAGAAAACCTAGAGTAAATACTAATATTAGTACAATACTTATTTATTAACTGTTAAAATGTATTTGACTGCTTTTTACCTGTATGATAAAGCCCCAGCAAAAATGGTACTATCTATTTGAGGCTCAGAATTTGGTCTTATTTGCCTTCGATCAGTTAATTCGGCGATCATAATATTGCTCTTATCAAAATCATCACAACAAATTTGTACACACATTAGTTTGATTTTTCAAGTTCAAGAGTGAAATCGATCATTGTCTAAGCTCAGTAATTATAGGAACGCTACAAAAGTACTATTGGTTACATATGCAACACATACATATTAAGTATTATAAATCTATTTAATAATATATGTAAAATAATAAAAATATGCGGTAAAAAAAAGGAAAAATTAACCTAAAGGAAAAATTTTCCAAGGTTTATTTTCCTCTATTTAAAACACCAGCTATGTACTCGTCTGTGAATTGTGTGTGTGTGTGGGTGTATAGGTAAGTGTGGGTAAAAGTGTAAAGGGTTCCAAAACTAAAAAAAAAATATCATAAATGAAAGAGTAAAGAATTATCATAAGTAAGGCTTATCATTATCATTCAAAACAGTGCATATTTTTTAAGTACTGAAGCATCATTATAATTTTATTTATTTTATTAACTTTTTTAATTTGAATTTTGAATACCTATATCTAAACCTTACCTATTATGTAATTACTTATAGAATTTTTTATAATAAATAAATAATAGATCAATCAAGTGTTACGGTTAATATCTAAAACCTGCTAATGTTAACTAGAGTTCAATAATATTAATATTTAGATTGCAAAAACAGTTTTCTTTCAACATTGGGGGAGAAATGTGGAAATTATCTAGCCAAAGTCTGAAGTAATTATAAAAATTAAATGTCTTTAATTGAACATTAGCTAACTTTGTCCTACTAATTTAGCATACATATAGGTACATAGTTAATATAGAATATAACTGAATAATTTTGATGTTCAAATCGTGTTCAAATTTCAGGTATTAACTACCTATAACAGCAACAGCTGTTTTATTTCAGCAGATATTAGCCATAACATACACAATTTTTAAGATATTTATAGCGGTTTCGAATGTTAGTTGGTACTTAGATATATAATATAAAAAAGGTTTTTAAATGTTAAGTTGAGAACAGCCAGTATTACCTCTCAGCATTTTTTACCACCAACTGTAACAGCGAAATGGACAAATACTTAAAATAATTGACTTAAAACGTAGATCGGTTTTGCCAAGGTTTTGCCTGAGGTCTAACTGAGGATAAGTCTAATTTCACAATCAAAAACGATAGCAAATAAGAAAATATACGTATTTTTGTAATAATCTACTTATAACTAAAAATACTTAGATACGCTACTGTAAAGGCATTGCTAAAGGTAAAAAAATGTAATATCACTTACCGTCCAAATATCAATCAGGAGTTAGAATAGTCCACCTTTAACAAACTATGCACTGGTGAACCATTGTAGATAGTTAAAAAACTACTTTAAATAGTTTAATTTGCAATAAACACTAATAATTATTCGAAAGTTGTCCGAAATCCACAAACACTTCCAACGGTCGCAGAAAACTCGCAACAATGCTCCGTTGGACAAAAGCTGAATGAATACGTCAAATGTCAGCGTAATTTCTACAGATTCCGACAATTCGTAGTAAAAATTAATCCGTAGCGATGCCGGATTGTCTTAGTAATTTCCCTAATATATTTTAATCGTAATTTTAATATAATTTAATTAGAAAACTAATAATAATTTCAAAGGTATAATCCTAGTATAATTAATGTATTATAATTAAAATTATATATCTACACAAATATTTAGTCTAATGACCTTGTAATGACAATAGCATTTAGAACTCAAACCGTAATCAGCCGAAATCTACCACCGGTCGCTTAAAATTGGCATCATCGATTTTTGTGGAACACGGTTCGTGATCGCGGTAAAATGTAAATTGTTTCGTCTCCTTTTATTTAGATGTCTTTGGTCAGAACCCACTGAGCGTAACGTTGTCTCTGTTCATACTATCTTTACATTTATTAATTCTGATGCTTTCAGATGCATCTAATTGCCTGTAATTTGAGACTTGTTTAATTAACTTTAAATTATTAAGATCTATACAAGGTTCTTTATCAACAATATGTTTGGCAACGCAAGATTTATCCGGTCTACCATATCTTATCTAAGCTAAATGTTCTTTAAATCTAGTTAATATGTTGCTCAGATAAGATATGGTAGACCGGATAAATCTTGCGTTGCCGAACATATTGTTGATAAAGAACATTGTATAGATCTTAATAATTTAAAATTAATTAAACAAGTCACAAATTATTTTTTTAATTTCGGTGTATTGTAGTGAATTAGTGTTTTTATTTTGCGTTGTACCAGGGTACAAATTCCCTTTGCTTTGCCATATGTTTTGCACACGCACGATGCGCCAACGTTGAAACGAGCGGACACTGGCCAAGGCTTGCCATGCCATTTGTAGCCGCCTTTAAGGGAATTAACTAAGTGACTAATCTCAGTTCAGTTAGCTATACAATCCGAATTATCAGTATAAGGCTTACAAGGAAATTAAATATGACACTAGGGGAGATTCTTCTTTAAAATTTAAAATAAACTTTAATAACTTGACCGATATTTTCGATTATTTTCAAGAAGAGCTAAAAAACTACAACTGCTCTATACAGGGTGGTCCGAATTGTATTCCGGAAACTTCGGCTGCATATTCTGTAGATAAAAATAAGTAAAAAAGTTCGTATAAATGTACGTCCTAAAATGCTTAGTTTCGGAGATACAGGGTGTAGAAATTTCATTTTTATTTCGATTTTTTCCAAATAATTTCTGAAGTAACGTCAATATTTGGATGAAAATTGGTGTCTCGAAGTTTTTTGACATGGAAAATTTGATTTGATGTCATTATGACTCCTACTAGTAGAGGGCGCCACCTACATATCTTTTAACTGGTTTGAAGAGTAATAACTTTTCGTCCGTGCCTGTATAAAACTACTAAGTAAAAAATGTACATTTACGACGTTTTATACATGAAAAAGGTCTCTTGGTAAAAATCGTTACGAGTAACGGTTTTCGAGATATTTGGAATTGAAATTATCAATACCTGTCAACATTGACATAAATTAAACATGTTGACAAACAGTTATTAGACTGAAATCATAAATTTGAAATGTTTTTATACTAAAAGTTCAACAGAAACTGTTTTATCATCATTTTTTGCAAAAAAATTATGATTAATTTAAAAAAAAATAAAAATATCCTATATTTATTATTTCAGCGAGATAACTATCTACTCAACGTGTTTATTTTTCTTCAATAATGACATGTATTGTCTATTTCCATGCTAAATATCTTAAGAACGGTTGCTCGTAGCAATTTTTATAATGAGATATTTTATACATAAAAAGTCACAGAGGTGTATATTTTTTCACTCAGTAGTTTTATACAGGTATGGACAAAAAGTTATTACGCTTCAAAACAGTTAAAATACATGTAGGTGGCGCCCTCTACTAGTAGGAGTCATATTGACACCAAAATCAAATTTCTCTTGTCAAAAAACTACCAGACACTAATTTTCATCCAAATATTGACGTTACTTCAGAAATTATTTACAAAAAATCGAAATAAAAATGAAATTTCCACACCCTGTATCTCCGAAAGTAAGCATTTTAGGACATACATTTATACGAACTTTTTTACTTATTTTTATCTGCAGAATATGCTGCCGAAGTTTCCGGAATACAGTTCGGACCACCCTGTATATCGTCACCAACTTGTCCCAATTTTCGTTATATCTTTATATGTACCATTTCACACAAAATCCATTGTTTTTTACAAAAGTTTATTTAGGAATTAGGAATATCTCCGATATCAGCGCAATAATAATGCAGAGATAAGCATTTTTATAAAAAGAACAAACAAAAAAAATAGTAACATTATTTTAGTAAATACATATTTCTTCTAACTTTTAACTTAAATTAGTTTTACTTTGATATGTCAGGTATATCATATACACCTCTTGTATGTATATATTATTTAATTTATTATAACAATATCACTTTCAATACAGTCCAAAATATCTTCAGAACTCTGATATTTCGCATTTTTAAAACAATAATTATTTTACAGAAAGCCTCTATTAAGATGGCTTACATTATCTAATGGCCTAAATTCCCTCGCAAATATCCAGTTCTCAATATAGTCGCAAATATCTCAGTTTTAATAGATAATTTAGAGTAGAATTAATAATAAAAGTGGGTGACGAAAATTGGGCATATAGCCCATCTTCATACTGCCATTTATGGAAAAATTATTTAAATTATAGAAAAATTAATTTTATAGTGAATAAAATAATTTTCCCTATAATGACCCAATTTTCGTCAATGGTGACGATAATACGGCACTCTAAAAAACCGTCATTCATTATATTTATTAATGTTATAGAAAAAAATAAAGACATGTGATAGAAAACCTCTTACACTGGTAATTAATTATATTTGGACCTTAGTATACTAAATTGCATTACTGTGAAAGAATATCAAGAAAACTGTTGCCCTCCTTGGCCTATAAGAAATGGGTGGTTTCTCGTCAATGTTCAACTAAAATACTTCCAACTAAAATAGTCGTTATTCCACGTAAATGAAGTGCGCCATTTAAAAAAAGATGTATTGCAGCGTTTCCAGATATATAAAACAACTATTTAAAATTATTTATTATGGAATCTTTTCCCTGAGTTACTTAATTTTTCAAAAAATATCGAAATATGACGATAATTAGGACAGTGACGGTAATTGGGCTTCTCCCATAATTTTATTTTAAAAAATTTATTATCACAAATCACCAGCTTTTGGAATTTTACTGACACATAGTATTCTTTATTCTAGATAAAATCAAGGAAAGAGAAATACTTTTATTCTACTACGTATTGGACTTTATCAAACCTATAAAATAACCCCTGACTGTTACGCCAATGAGATAAAAAATGCTATTCGGTCACAGCCTTAAGCCATTCGACCCTTTCTACTCCTTTTAATAAAAAAAGGAATGGAAATGCAAAAAATCCTTCACTCTCCACAGGCTATGGAACAAAGAGGGACAGAGGTTGGATCCTCGTTCCAGGAATACCTCTGCGAACAGAGGCAATCTAGAATAATACTAAATTTGGCTACGAAGGCTGGATAAAAGTAGAGGGACAAGTAGAGCCCTCGTTCTTACGAAATGAGAGCCAAAATGTGATGTGGGTCTGAGAAAATTTACTTCAGGCGGTATCTTATAAGGATTCCACATTAGGTTTTAAATAGTTTTGGATAAGGAGTATGCATAGGGTGGACATTTATTCAGATATAAACGCAATATTAGATTCTGGTTTTCTTTTATCATTAGTCTACTATTTGAAACTTATATATACTAATATATAAAATCCTTAAGTGATTGACATACTGATTAATCACGATCCTGCTCAAACCACTCGAGGTTCGATAAGAAGGGATTTTTCGGAATTCCAGTTCCAAGGGGGTGAAACCACCCCTCAAATATTACAATATTTTTTATTTAAAAAAATGTCAAGTTTACGAAAAAACGCTTAAACACGTATATTTTATTTTGTTTTTTTACATCTTTTAAGATTTTTTTAAAAATGTATACAGGTTGTTTCGAAAAATCTGGTCATTGATTAATCACGATCCTGCTTAAAGCGCTTGACGTAAAAAGCTGATTATTAGAAAACAGATTGACTTTAGGGTGTGGAGGTTCGATAAGAAGGGATTTTTCGAAACTCGAATTCTAAGGGGGTGAAACTATCCCTCAAATAGGGTAAGTCCGGTACAGATGCCCCACCGGGAGAGATGGCCACAGCGTGTAAATTTCTAATCATGTCACTTATCAGTTGCTTCCTGCTAGATACGGCAGTAGTTCACCTGCTGGTATTATGGTCTGACATAATTTGAATGTCAATAAAAAAATAGGCTAGTTTTTACAAAGAACTGTTTTTATAGAAGTACTTATTTTTTTACTGTCAGAGGTCGCGTGGGAATAACGTAATATTATGTAAGTTTTTGGTATTTCATGCCATTTTATATTACAATACATGCTTCGTGAAGTATCATAACTTCAAAAAATTAATCATATGTCGCTGCATTTTAAACCTTGCGGTGGGGCATCTCTCCCATCGAATTGGGAGAGATGCCACATAGAAAGCTGGTAAAGATGCTTTACTAAAAAGTAACTTTTTTTAATCATGCCTACTGAATATAAAATAAAATGTTCCGAAAGCGCTCAGTGGTTTGAAAAATCATTGGCTGCTGTTTTGCAAGCCATTAATACCGACCAAATGGGCATAAAAGCATAATGCATGCTTTTGGGATCCCTGCAAGGACTTTGAGACGTAGGGAGGCAAAAAACAACACAGAAAGAGCAAGCACAAGGTCATCCTCAACTTTTGGATTTTAGTTAAAAAATTAAAAAATAACCTTAGATATTTAACCAATATGTATATGTATTTTTTTGCGGGGCATTTCTCCCATGTTGGAAGGCCATCTCTCCCGCAGCGTAGGGAGTGATGGCCAATTTTCTTTTTTTTATTGTTCTCTTTCTATTATATATACTCACTTATTATATTACTATCTTAGTCCTATTATGAATTATTATTAAATATAGTTTAGGATTGCATCATTAGTTTCATTTAAAATTAACTACCAATATGTATTATTAGCCCCAAAAGAAAAGTGGGGCATCTCTACCGGACTTACCCTATTACAATATTTTTTATTTAAAAACCGGTGAGTTTTTTGGAAAAACTTTTAAATACGTATATTTTATTTTGTTGTTTTACATATTTTAAGATTTTTTATAAATTTATACAGGGTGTTTTATAAAATATGACCATTCAGTAATCACGATTCTGCCTA